GCGTGCGGCTGACAGGGGCTCATGGAGCGCACGGGAGCGCGGCCGGCCCTGAGCCCGGAGCCTTGGCTGCCCGGCGGACGTTACCCTTCCCTGCCTACGTTTGCTCCGTTACAGCTACCCCTACCCTTCCTTACTTAAATTCGTTCCATGACTGGTGCTGTATGAACAGAAGACGCCCCTACCCCACCTCTGCAAAGCTCTTTATTACATTGTGTTTTAAAGGTTTAAAGGTCTAATTTTGCTTTGTCGCAAAAACGCTGTTTCCCTATGTTTTATTGTTTCGTTTTGTGGTTTTGTCCTGCCGGCGTGGGACGTTGTGCAGAAAGGGTCATGGATGCGTGTGAACAGAGGGTTCCATGCTCTAAAATATTAATGGGTCCCTGGACATAAAATGCAAAGAACATGATTTTAAAGCTGAAAAAGCATCAGAGAATGTTTGGGGAGCAGAGGGAGAGGGCTCAGACTGGAGCTGTAGGAGCAATTCCATGATTGGAAAGAAGGTGGAGATGGGACGTGCGAGGGTCTCGGCCTGTCAAAATTCCATTGGTTGCTCCTGTGTGAGGATGGGGAGATTCCTCCAAAGGCCTGGGCTGGTGCCGGGGCTCCGGCGCCCTCGCTGACGGGCTCTGCTGTGTTTCCCGTGCAGGTTTGAGCTGATGCGCATGTGCTGGCAGTACAACCCCAAAATGAGGCCCTCCTTCCTGGAGATCATCGGCAGCATCAAGGACGAGCTGGACCCGGCCTTCAAGGAGGTCTCCTTCTTCTACAGCGAGGAGAACAAGCCCCCCGACACGGAGGAGCTCGACCTGGAGACTGAGAACATGGAGAGCATTCCCTTGGACCCCTCGTCCACCCTGCAACCCAGCGACAAGCACTCAGGACACAAGGCCGAGAACGGCCCCGGCGTGGTGGTGCTCCGGGCCAGCTTCGAGGAGCGGCAGCCCTACGCGCACATGAACGGCGGCCGCAAGAACGAGCGGGCCCTGCCGCTGCCCCAGTCCTCGGCCTGCTGATCCCGCGGGCCCGGAGCGCGCGCCAGGAGCGACAGGAACCTACAATATCTTCACAAGCCTACTGTACCTCAGTGGATCTTCAGAACTGCCATAGCTGCACTTGGGAGAACCCTTTTTTTCAGTAAACAAGTTATCGTTTTTTTTTTTTCTTCTTTTTTTTTCAATATGCAAGCAGATGTTTGTTTCGGAAAAGGACTCCGTTCATGGGGCGCACAGTTGGCCTTCTAAAACTCTGGTGTTAACACTTAATAGCAACAGAAAACTTGAGATCTGATGTTTTTCTCTCTTTCTCTCTCTCCTCTCTCGCTCTCTTCTCTCTCTCCTGTCTCTCGGCTTCGTAATGGGAAACATATCTGCGTGCAAGTTCAACCGTACGGCACTTTTACCAGATCAAAGATATCGCAGGCCAGGTGGCTCCCCAGTACCCTGGCAGGCACCTGCCTAACACTGTAGGTCTTTATAAAAAAAAAACAAAAACGAAACAAAAAAATACAAAAAATACACAAAAAAGCAGAAAAAAAACGATTAAAAAGACTGGATTTTTAATGTCGCTCTTTAATCTTTTTAGGAACACGTAAAAGAATAAAAAAGGGCCATCATTCGTCCAAGGTTGTTACCATTTTCAACGCTGCCAAATTTTGCCAAAAAAAATGAACTCTTTGTTTTTCTTTTTTCTTTTTTTTTTTTGTAGGCGTGGAAGGAGCACAGTAATCAACTGCTCTGTTTAAAAGAGATCCTGACCAATACGTTCTATTCAATCATACACTGGTATTAAAAAAAAAATCAAATTGTCTAGATCTTTTTTCAAAACTGGACAAAATGTGATTTTTTTTTAATTATTATTACTATTTTTTTTTCTCGTGATGGAGAAGAGAAAAGGGATGGGGTTAAGAAACAGCCCTCCCTCCACCCCTACCCCATTCCTACGAATTCTGGACAAAACTGGCAGTGGGGAGCTAAACAAACACATGCGTTTTGTACAAAAAAAAGTCAAGCGCACGCCAAAAATGAAACATGAAAACCATGCAAATAAGCGGCCGAAATCTCCATCATTGCAGCCTGCTTTCCTTCACAGGCTTGCAAGGAAAAAAAAACACCTAGAAAAAATTATTGAGAAGATTTGAAAACAAAATTTAATCCGCAGTAACCGGATTCAAGTATATGAGGCTTTGTTGACCTTTTCTCTTTATTATTAAGACTTCTCGAAGGGTCTTGCAGTTCTATGTTAGACCATGGATCATTTGCATACACATTGTCTTTTGTGTCACTTTTATAACTTTTTTACGGTTCAGATACTCATCTATATGTCTGTACAGAAAAAAAAAGCTGCTATTTTTTTTGTTCTTTATCTTTGTGGATTTAATCTATGAAAACCTTCAGGTCTGCCCTCCTTCCCTTCCCTGCCCTCCCACTTCAACAGATTTTCTTATGCTTTGTACTATAGTGTGTAACTTTAACTTCCTCCTTCCCAGTAACTGATACCTTTCATATGATTTGCCATGAACTGTTTAATGCCTTTTGATAAATACATTTCCTCCTTTTTTTTTTCTCTTTTTTTTTCTTTTTCCCTCCTCCTCCATCAGTTGTTTTACGACATCCTGGCTGTGTGGGCTGCAGGGGTTGCAGGGCCGCCCGCGATGCCTCCTGCCCGGACAGCGTGCGAGTCTGTTACAGTGCAAGGCATGATACAAACTCAGGTCAGAAAAAAGAAAAAAAAAAAAAAAAAGGTTAAATATTTAGTACATTCTTGTTCAGTGTTTTTATTCATTGTTGTACGGGGGTCCTCCCCTCCTGCCCTCCCTGCTTGTCTTGGCTGTGGCGCCCACACACGCTCCCCACACACACACACACGTGTATATATATATGTGTGTGTGTGTGTGTATATATAGAGGGTGTTTTTGGTTTTGAATTTGTCGGATACAGCCAGGCTTTTGGGTCACGGATTTTTGGAGCGGCTCTTTTACCCCTTCCATCCTGTGAACAGGAGCTGCCCCGGGGCGGCCCCTCTCCGCGCGGAGCAGCCGGAGCCGCTTCCCGGCCGGGCTCGGAGGCGGTGACGGTGGCAGCCCTGGAAACCTGCCCAGGCCCCAGCCTGGGGGGCCTGTTGGTCGCAGCCCAAACCTGGGCACAAAAGCGAGCGCCGGAGCGTGTGCGCTGGGCGCGGGACCGCGGGGACGCGGCACCGAGGGGTCCCTCACCCGGAGTCACTCACAGCATCGAAGCCTTTGCCTAGCACTGATCCAACCAAACGATGGCAGTGACGAGGTGGTTCTGGGATGGAAACGTCTGATCTTTCGAGTAAGAACAAAGAATTACAATATACTGATTGCTCGTTTTGACTGGAGATTAAAGAAGTTTGTAGTGCTTTTTGCTTGTGTAGCGTAGGTCCTATTATCTTCTCTTGCCTCTGTCCCATAGTTATTTTTTCCCTTTTAAAAATGAAAAAAAAGACAAAAAAGTTAATTAAGAAGGTATTCTATGTAGGATTTTTTATTTATTTTTGTGATATCAGTTTAAATCACTGTAGAGATGCCCCATAATAAATTTAAATACTGAGATAAGGGTTTTTGAGTATGACAGGGGGACAGTTTTTGATTTTTTTCAGACATTTATCTACCTCACTCTTATTTTTTTATATGTGTGTATATATATAAAAAAAAATACATCTCACATTTCTCAGCAGCCAATAAATGCCGTTGATACTGGTAACCTCTCACTCCATAAACCACATGCTCTAGGTTCTGGAGGGGAACAGTCACTGCTTGTCACCAAGGGTCACCTCAGAACTTTTGCCCCAGCTCCAAGGCTTTGCCCAGTTTTTTGGTTGAGTTTTTTTCTGTCTTTATTGTAGGAAGAAATCTTAAGAGTCGTTTGGCTCAAGGTGGCCGTTCCTTGAGGAATCGCAAGGGTTTTTAATGGGCTGCACGTCTGGCCTCACTGACCTGATGCAGGAACTTTGACCTATGAGTATTTGATCAATTTTGTTACAGAAACCAGCTGTTTACGCTGTTTGAAGGTGCAGAGGAATTGTTAGAATGAAGTAAATGATCCTTGTGTTTATCGAGCAGAGCGGGCTAAGTCATTCCTGCCACTTTTTCTCAGATGCCACAAGCACCCAAAGGACATTGGACTGAACCAACACCTCCCAGCAGACACGATTGGATCACACAGCACTAGTGTTGCTTTCTTGACCAAATCAAACAGTGAAAAAGCTGTCGCAGGCTGCCTGGGGAGAATACTACACTGAGTTTACAATTTTAGATCCTTGCTGCTTCTGTTTGATGAGAGCACTGATTGTTTTTTTTTTTTTCCCAAACTCATATTGGATTGATTTTGTTTTTCTGATGTGCCAGTAAAAATGCAGTTCCTTTTTTTTTTTTTTTTTACCCTGTTCATATGCTTCATAACTGTGGATTCTGATGGACCAGCCATCAAACTGTAACTGCCCTCCGACAGCGTGTAACTGGTTTACAAGCGCACGGTCCTGGCCCGAGCTCGCCATCCACCCGGTGGATAATGTTTCTCTTTTTCCAGTTCTGGCAGCTGTTGGTGCAGGTGTTGGTTGTGGTATCTGAATAATGTGGTGCTTGGCTGCCCCGCGTTGTATGTGGCCCCTTGAACACACAGTGCTGTGGTTAAGTGCTACAGCGCGGCTTTGGGGAGAGCGTTTCTCGCTAACCCCGGAAAATCAAGAATTTATTTTTTTTCCCCAGGTTATTTTTGTTGTCCCATTTTTACCAGCTTCCAGTGACCTTTTGGAGCAGTGACTCTTCCCCTCTCTTGCACATATTGATTACCACAACTGGAGATCCTCAGATCTTTCAGCTGGCTAGGAGGGTTTTGTTAAAACTGTCCAAGTTCTTGGTTTTTATAATTGTATGTAGGTGGTTTAAAAACGCATTAGGAAGAAACACTAACACCGTAGCACCCATCAGGATAAGCATTTCAAAAAGCACTTCAATGGAAGAGCAGTTTTGTGACTAGAAGTAAGCACGTGTGATGACAGTCAGCTCTCCTGGACCAAACCACCTTCATGATACCATTGCGCTCTGTGTTTGCAGTTCAAGCTTAATTCCTTTTTGTTCTGTTCGTTTCCATAGCTTTTATTTTTTGTTGTTGTTGTTGCTGTGTTTTTGTGCATTTTGAATAGCTTTATTCACATGGGTTTTTCATGCAGACTTCCTTTTGACAGTAAATCAAGATGTTTATGCATGTGAACAACTGAGAACTGATGTTGGCTTGATACAGTCATAATATGGTTTGTAATGTTGTTCTTCCCTGAGACCACTGGCTTGTCTGGTATGGAAAATTTATTTAGAACTTTAGCTATGTTTGAATAAAGTTAAAGTAATCCAATTTGTTTATAAATTGAAAACAAAAGCCCACCCAGCCCTGCAAGCAGCATTTTGGCAAATGGTACCAAGATGTTTTAATGCAATAGCATACCAAGCTGGCATCGCCACGGGGAGCAGGAAACTCTGGTTTAGCACTCGGGCCCTTGTTCTCGCAGCCTTGCAGTTTACAGCGTTTCCCTGGCGCAGGAGGTGGTTTGGTTGCAAAGGAAGGTGGCTCTTGTGCAAGTACAGCAGTGTGGGATGCTGCTCAGTAGAGCTGCTCTCGTGGGGGCTCTGGGATAAGGGAAGCCCGGGGCAGCCTGGGCTCGTCGCCCGTCTCCGCGCGGGGCCTCTGCCCCCCGGGGCTGGTTCTGAGGGGTGTCCCAGGCCGGGCGCTCGCGCTGCTGCTCCTCTCGCTCTGGAAGAGCGAACGGGAAAGCCCAGGTTGCCCAGGAGGACCCGTCGCCAGACGGAGCCGCTGTCAGGTCGCCTGGGGGTGTTGGTACAACCCCAGTCTAAATGAACAACACTCCTGTTATATAAACCTTTCCATTCCTTTAGCACAAGTGACACTTGTTTCCTGGTATTTTGTTTGTCAATGGTGCATTAAATCACTGGGCGACACGACAGTGGGGGAAGGTGCACAGGATCCGCTCCTTACTAAGCAGCGCTCAAAAGCAGAGTTCACAACTTAGCCCGTGCGCAGGCAAGAACAGAGGGATGGCGTGTAGGAAAAACCCCGGTGGCCAGGGGTGCTGAAGATACAGAACGGTGAACGGGAGGGCTTCAAAGGATGCCTCACTTCAGAAAATTGGTATTTAGAGATGAGTAGCGGCCTCTGAAACTAGAAGCAGAGCCAGGTAAAGCAGACTTGAGTGTTTGTGTGAAGACATGTGAAAACAAAGGACGTGGCAATAGGTATGACAGGGCACGGGGCTTGGCAGAGGGTAGAGGCAGCGTCCTGAGCTTGGTGACGGGACAGCAGCAGAGCTCAGGTGTCACCTTGCGATGCTGGTACTTGTCAGTGAACCCCCGGGCTCTCCCGCCGGGTGACAAACTCCTGCAGGAGGTTCGTGGTTGCAGGAATCGGTCTCTGCAGTGGGGCGGTGGTTCGACACCTCGGGCTCCGGCTGTTGTGTGTGTGTTTGTGCGTGCTCCCCTCTCTGTGCGCGTTGCGTTGGCTCGTAACCCATTAGCGTTGTCCATAGGGCTTTAAGTCCAGTAGATTACGGGTAGTCAGTTGACGAAGATCTGGTTTACAAGAGCTCATTAATGTTTCATTGCATTTTGTAAGTACATAGAATAATTTTATAAAATGTTTGTAGTTTATAAATGCCTAGGATATAATTTAAGGGCACTTTTCTGTGTCTGTGTGTGGGATGTCTGTGTGTGATCCGTTTTTCCTTCCCTCTTTCTGTGGTGGTACCAGTTTTCCAGCCAGCTTTACAACACGCCAAACAGGGTCGCCAGCGTTTCCGATCCGTGGTTCGTCCCGCGCCGCCCGCCCGAGCTGTGTCCCCGGATCTAGTGGATGGATAGGGAAGTTGGGAGATGTTCTGTATCTTCAGTATCCTGCTCTTCCAGAGCGCTCCGGCCGCGCTGGGGTCGGCGGAGCCGGTCGCTGCCGTCGGGCGCGAGGCTGCGAGTGCCCAACACAGAGTTTCGTGGTCCCTGCCGGCCGCTCCCTGCAGAGCCACCACTGCTTTAACAGGTCGCGTGCGGCCCCCGCACGCACCGACCACCACGTAGAGCTTTGTCGCGATGAACAAAGTAGATCCCTATTTATTTTTATTTAAGAATGCTGAAGATCCCTTCCCCTCCTCTCTCCTCTCCCCCTAAATTTGACTAACGGCATTTTTGAAGGGTTTTGAGGGTTTGGATGCTGTTTAAAAACCAGCTCTTCTGTTTTCTGAACCAGTGAGGTTTGAGGTGAAAGGATTGGCCAGAGTTTGTCTACCTCTGGGACAAAAACAAAACGAGAAAGTGCTAAGGAATGGATGCAGTTGCAAATACAACATTTTCCAAGTTTTCTTGTTTAAATTTTTTAAAAGAAAATTAAACAATAACATGGCCAATTTATTACATGAAAAGACTTGCTGTGTATAAATTATTCCTAAAGAAATTCCTGTGTTTATATTAAAATGAATCAGTAGATAAAAACAATTTCAAAATGTTTTTGTATATTCTGTTGTAAGAATTTATTCCTGTTATTGCGATATACTCGGGATTCTTTACATTATGAAAAAAAGAAACTTTGTCTATTTTGAATGGCTGAAGCTAAGGCTCCTTTAGTTTCTCTTACTCTGCTTTTTTCTAGTAGTTTCAGTACTACATGATTTAAGTTAAATAAAAGAATTCTGTATGCATTTGTCTGCTTCTGACTTTGTTGCTCCTTACGCAAAGCAAAACCAGTTAGAGAACCCCGAGTGAATCTGTTGGTTCCCCCATCCCTGCCCGTCTCCATCCTTCCGGCTGTGTTTAACCGGCAGTCAGTCTTGGAAGGGGTCAGTCCTGCCGTTCCCGTGTGCTGAAATCCGGGCCCGTTTCTGTCTACCGGCACTGACCTTGCGGCTCCCTTTTTGATGGCCCTCTCGAGTCTGGTTTTGCAGCAGGTGTTTCCTTTGAATAAGGTAGGTGTCTTTATTTCTCTCTCAGGTTTGTCTGTTGTCCTCTCTCCTGATGCGATGCCTGAGGAAGGGGCTCTTGTTTCCCTTGGAGAAACAGCAGATGTCCACACTGAGCTGCTGCTGCTGGGCTCCAGGGGCTGTTTTTGAAAAACTCCCGCTGACTTTATCGCACCGACGGGTGCTCTGCTAGCAGGATCATCCAGGAGGAGGTTTGCTCATGTCCCCTGTGTGCAAACAAGGATTCGCCTTCACCTTCCTCTCACCCGCCTTAGCAGCACAGTCGTGTACTCCTCAATCAAAATTCTCAATCATTTGTTTTATTCTCAAGCTTTTTGCACAAGAAATGTAAACAGTTGTTTGCTTTATGTAGGCAGATTTCAGCAAAAATAACACAGAATATAAATTGCTTATCTAAGTAAGAGTTTCAAATAATCTTCACAGATGCCTTATTTAAGAGTTAAAGAATTGTATTCTAAAATATTAGTAATTTCTCTAACTGCTCTGTCTTATTCCGTTTCTTTCCCACACTGTTTTAACATTTCTAAGATAATTCTCCGTAATGCTTTTCCTAGGAAGTCTGCAGTTACCCATGTGGATAACGGAGGTACGTGGATGAAAGCTGCTCTCCCCTGGCCGTAGTAGAGAGACGTGTAGTAGGTGTAATCACAGATGTACCTGCAGGGACAACAGAACAGCCTCGTTAAGGAACAGGAGACCTGATTACATTTAAATATACTTGAAGCAGCCAAACCAGATTGGTTAAGGAAATTATTAGAAACTTATTTGCTTAGTGAATAAAGGAAATGTCGAAATAAAACAAATTTGAGAATCAAATATTCTTTATCTGATGGTATGGTTTCTCAGACATATGGCCAGGATGAACTGAATACAAAATCTCAGCATATGCAATTTTTTTAGGCTGCTGCAAGGTAAGTTAGAAGAGAAAATTAGTGCAGGCCCCTGGAACTATATCCATGCCATTACAGAGGACAGCTTAAAGGTTTCATGTAGGTTGTTCTATGTGACTGTTTTTAATTTGGAGACCTAAACCCTGAAACTTAAAGGTTAAGATTAACTGTTTTTTTAATAGGTATTTTTCTGTCTTGTTTTCTTTTTAAGTGAAAACTAGCTTAAGAGAAAAATGCTTCAGCACCACCAAGCACCTAACGAGATCACAGACATCTTTCCAGAGATGCCTGTAAATGCTCTGTTCTTCCACGTAGGTATTTGTTTTGTATCCCTCCCAGCTGGGAGAAACAGGTAGATTAAAATCTGCTGCTAGTCCGTGCTCCTTTCAGGCTCTCTGGTAGTTCGAGAGTGCTGGAGTTGCTCCTCACAGGGTGTGCTGTGTTGAAACTTGTTTCTTCTGGAATTCACAGATCTATAGAAAAGTATCTACAGGCTGCATTTTTTTCCAAAGAAAGCTTCTTTACATTAAATTTGTCCCAATTTCATGCTTGTGTCCCTCTGAAGATTAACCTTTACAGTGATTTTGGTTGGAGGAGAAAGTCATCGTAAAGATCCTTCAAGGTGAAATAAGCACATTGAATTATTTCTGTTTTTCCCAAGACCCCTGGTATGGAATGTTTACCTTCCTGCATCTCTGGAAAAGATTATCTCAATGCCTTCCACTGAAGTGTTTTTCCAGAGCGTCTTCATGTTAATTGCAGATTCAATCTTTTCTGGACCATCCGGCACGCAGCAGCCACCTTCGGGGTGGAAGCCGCAGGCGTCCCGCTCGCGGTAGCCTTTGTTCCTCCCACACTGCTCCAGGACGATTCCCGGGGCGGAGGAAGCCAGCCCAACGTGAACAGTGAGCTTTTTTTCCCACCGGAGTGAATAACAGGAAATTAAAAACGAGACCTGCTTTTAAAAACACATAATGCAACAGTGCCGAGCATTAACTGAAATACTAGCTTCAAGGTAGGGAGACTCGCTATAGTTCATACCTAAACAGAACTTTTTAACAACAGGTTATAAATGAGAACAAAATAGTGCTTTTGTTTTTGTTGTGTCTAGTTAGCTCAAGACTTCAGAGCTACAGGACCTTTTTCAATTCAACGTTTTTTTTTTGTTCTGCATGCGAGTTGCTAATAAATGGCACAAGGTTAGAACAGCATGCTAGTTATTGGGTGCTCTGATTTCAATCTGAAACCTTTATCATGGTTTTAGTAGTCACTTGACAGAGCTGTCTTGATGTTTGTCTTGTGCAATACTCTTTTGGAGATCTGTCTAAAGATCCTCTTAATGTTATTCAGAAATTAAGAGGCAAATTTGCCTAACTGTAATTACTCACCAGTGGCTGAAGAGTTGTCCATATTTTGAAGACTTGCTCCTTTGCTTTTTGGTAAACCACCGGCAGCTGCATAATACGGAGATCTATGTTTTTACCAAGACCTTGCTTGGACAGCTCCTATATGAAAGACCAGCATGGACTTGTCAGAGCACTGGATTTCTCAGACTGTGATAAAGAAACCTGACTTTGATCCGTCTGTGAAAACATATGAAAGAGTGATGTAACGCTGCCTAATCCCATATTTCCCAAACACTGGTCTGCGATGAAATCCAATTGTCTTGTGGTAACTTGCTCTCTTGCTCTCTCTTTTTTTTTTTAATGAAAGAAAGCAAGATGTGCTAAATACTTTACTCATGTCACTTCCATGTAAGCCATTCTGTTTTCCAAAGAGCTGTTCAGTCTCCAACGCGTGGAATTGGTTTATATATTTCATCCTGCTTAGAGTCGGGTCCATGGAATCATGAGAAAAGAAAAGCAGGATCTCTTAATAAAGTTTCACTCTAAAAACATGTGAACTTTGATATAGGTAAGAGCTGTTTCTCTGAAAGATCTAGGAGTCAAAGCTGTGCTTTAGAAAAGACACAAATGGGGGAGAATTCACATCAACCGTTAAGATGCATGAGATATTTTGGCTTGACCTGGGACAGGTCGCCTCTGCTGGAGATGATCCTGTCAACATGAAGAAGGTCACATTTAGAATGGATTTAATTTCTTTCTGGTCTAGAACATATTTCTCTAAATAAGGAAATGTCACCTTTTGGGATGAGATTTCTCTATCACATACATATTGCTGAAGTTCCCTAAGTGGCCTTTTCCCAAAGGAGGCAAATTCTGAGGCCAGGACTGAGGTGAGAGAAACAAAGGCATCCTCTAAAGCAAGACACGGGCCAGGCAGGGGGCAGCTCTTCTGGAGAAGTGCCAAGGGCTAACACAGAAATGACCTGAAAATGTTTTGATGCTGGAGGAGGGCTAAGGAACTAGGGTTCTGAGCGGAAAGGCTGCGGCTGCAAAGGCAGGATGCAGAAAGAAGGCAGAGGTTTGGCCCAGAAAAGGTGGATGGGGCATGGCAATCCCTATTGCAGGTAGATGACCAGCCTGCTACCAGAGCAGTGCACAGAGCTCGTGAGGGGAGGAACAGCAAGAAGCCTGCAGCAGGGGCTGTCAGGCTGGGCCCACAAACCTGGAACTTGGTTTTTATGTCTCTGTCTTCCCAAGCTTTTCCTTCTCAGCAGGGATGCCCACGTGGACGGGGCCTGCAGTTCTGTGCTGAGCTAACTGGGAAATTTGCCCTTCAACACTGGCTTCCTATATAAACTGTTCCAATTTTCTTGTCAGCGGAAACATTGATTAGCTGTGCTCAATAAACTATTTGACACAAGCAAGGAAATGATGCCTGCAGGGAAGTAAACAGTCGGGAGAACACTGCCAGCCTTTTCTTCCTCTGGGCCCTGACAGTCTCTGAGAGGCCGTTGCATCATCTCGCTCAAGAACGTGTTGCTCAGGCTTGGCTTCCAGAGCAGAGGACCTCAACCCGTTCACAATTAACGCTTGATTTTCTAAAACATCTTTAATTTCAGCATTTAATGAGATTCTTCCTTAACTGTAAGGCTTAGAGGATTGAACTCCAGCTTCCTTGCAGAATGTGGGATCCAAAGGAAGTGCAGCAGAACTGGCAGCCTGTTCTCCGGGGCTCTCTGAATTGCCACAGCCAAGTTCATTTCTGTTATCACTATTTATCAAAGGAGGAGCATCCAGGGACACTCTTTGTGCAGGACAAAAACAGCAGCTTGTCAATAGAAAAGTGCTGAGAATGTATGTTAAAGGAAGGTAAAATTTGCTACATTCTAAGTAATTTCAGCATGTAGTCAATAAAATGCGTTTTTCTTGGTGTCTGAGAACCCTAACCATGGACATGTGCCCCATGAGATCTGGCAATAGGCAAATGTGGAAGAAAGAAAAATGTTATTACTTGTCTCAAGCCTCAGCCTTAACCAAAACCGCTTTAGTGTCCCAGATACAAGACTGAAGGTGCATCAGTTGACTGCAATAAAGACAACTGCATCTGGAAACCAAGAGCCAACACTGGTGAGTTTATTCAGTAGATAAATGGCTGTCTTTTGTAGCTGAAATGGCAAAGGAGATTTTAAAGGTGGACAAAGGTTTTAGAGGACTTTTCCTAATGAGAAAATCAGTTCAAAAGTTATAGTCCTGGTTCATCGGAGTTCCGGCTCATTTTCTGTGTAATTCTCCCTAGAAGAGAATGATCTGGAAAGAGCAGTTGAGCTCAGGTGCTGTGGTTATGTGTTACACAAAGTATTAACAGTATCTTGAACTTCCAGAAAACTCCAGAAGACTTCAGTCACTTTGTAAGATTTTGTTGTTGGGAAGGTTGTTGGTTGGTTTTCATGTGTTATTTTTTGTACTTCATTTCAAAACACCTGTGTTGGGTGCAGAAAGAAGAAAAATAAAAGCATCAGTTGAACCAAGCCCCTGCAAGTATGTCTCAAGCAAAGGTTATTTTAAACCCTGCAGATACTTCTAAAAATCTTTGAAAAATGTAGGAAAGTTTCAGAACAGAAAAGGAGGAGCTAAGTGGCAATATGGTCTGGAATCACAGATGAAGAAATTAAAGGGAAGAGAGAGATTAAATGACAAATTTCCAAAGACCACAGTGGCTGCATGAAAAATTGTGCCCAGAGATATGATCCTCATCTCCTGACAGCAAATGTAGTTCCCAGAAGTGGTTGGAAATGTGACCTGTTCTTTGCACCTACAGTTTAATTACTATGAATGCTGTCACTCGACTTACATTTATGTCCTATTAAGTGGGGACTTTGACCTTGATCGTATATTACCCTGATAGGGTATTAAACTACCAAGTGCCAGACACTGGTAAACAGCACAAGAGTTTCTGGAGAAGACACAGAAACAGGATCAGATCAAGGGTTATTAGGTGGGTTCATCACTCCGGAATATAAACTAAATAATTCAAAAGATCTGAGATTCTGAGGGTCCCAGGAGGTGCTGAAGTGCTAACACAACACAGGGCCTCACTGTGATCTGAGAGCAAATGCAGAGTAAATATTCTGTGGTGTTTTCCTTTAGAGAGAGAATTCTCTGCAATTCAGGAGTTAAAAGGCGCTGAGAGTGGAGTTTTCGTGCATATTTTAGGAGGGTATTTCAGGTGAATGGAGTTATGAGAACCATAAAAAGCTGAGTGAGACAGGCCTCTGGAAAAGAAGCTGTCCTCCTAGTGCTAGACACTCATGCTGGGCCATGTGAAAGTGCCTACAGAAACTCTGAAGCTTTTACCAGTGACCCCGAGTTGGCAGGTTCACCTGGGCTTTCAGTTCCTCCTGATCATCCTTCTCCCTAAGCTCTCAAGTGGGGCACTTGCTCAGCAATGAGAAACCTATGGATGTGACACTGATGGATGCCTTGTGTGTGAATCATCGTGTGCTGAGATGAGAACTTGGGTTCACGCAAACACAACAGATGCTCTTCACATGCTCTGAATATTTCATTCCCATATCATAAGAGGGGCAATGCAGATCAGTGTGTTGCTATGTGGCATCATGAAGAAATCCAAAGTTTCAGGATAAGAACTCCTTCTATACCAGGAGGAGTAGTCAAAAATATGGAGAATCGTGTTAATGTTTACCATCTGATTCCCTGGAATGTTAGGAAATGGAAATTGATGTATCCACCAAAAAACGACTAGGAATTAAGTTGTGAAAGAAACAGTATCACAGAACCTCTGAGTGCCCCATGAAAAGCACAGAAGGGCTGGATGTGCTGGAATGGGCTGTGCTCTGCCCATTGGATCCATCTCTGATCCTTCCCGCAGCAAGAGGAGGGATTTGGGAAGCCTGCTGACCCCATCAGAGTGCCAGGGGCAGCAGCCACGTGGGAAGCAGCTGGCACGAGGGATCCCAGGGGGCAGATCTGCGGAAGGGTGGGCATTGCCCACGAAGCAAAGCCATTGCTCCTGGCCCAAGAAGTCTCCGTTGCCACAAGCGTGGAGGGTGAGACTGTGCTCTGAGGATTAGGGACTGCCAGTGCAGACTGGGCAGGGTTTGGGAGGTTTGGGGTGGGAGGGATGTGCAGGAACATGTTGGGTACTGCTGTTAGAACAGCACCGAGATTGCCTGGTGTCAAGCAGGGTTTTGACGAAAGCCCAGTTCATTTTGAGGTGGTAATTAGTGACATTCTGGATAATGCTACATAAACATTAACTGTTAGTAATCATGTTCAGGAGGACTGCTCTGGCTGTTCAGGCCTTTCTTGATGAAGACTGTGAGTACTCTTTCATGGTCCTCAGAAAAGAGCCTCAGCAGGAGGGGTTTGTGTCACTTCAGTGATCCATGCAGGAACCCCACGCCAAGTGATGATTATTTCCAGATGTAAGTACACAATTTTCGCTGTCTTTTACATAAGCATAGAAGGTTCCTGAAGACCATGGGGCTAGTCAAGTGAGCAAGCCTAGTGCAACAATAACATTAGCTTGCTATTTAGCCTATCAAAATTCAAAATACTTTCTGATTTGCAGCCGATTTCACTGAATTGCCTGGATTGACCACCTCTGACAGGGAATGAGAAACCAAAGCAGCATCACCAGCATGAATACAAATGAATTCCATGCCCAGGGTGTCATATCAGAGGGAAATGAATTTGTTCTCCATACACAAGGACTAACATCTGTTTCATTCTGGAATGCTGTAGCCATCGTTACGTAACTTTCTGGCATAGAAAGCACATGACTTTGTTACCAAAAACTCATCTCATCAGTGCACTTTAGCTCCAGGCTGTTTTGCTTGGAGATAAAGAACATGCTTTATTTTCAACCAGAAGAAGATGGTATTGCATCCAAAATTAGAACCAACAGAAATCAGGAGTTAATGAGAAAGAACGTTGTCAGCTGACAAATATTTGTGGTTTAGGCACATCTCAAGTAAGAACTGAGATAATTTATGGATCTCCTAGAATGACTGGGGTGCAGAAAGGTATAACAGGAGTATTTTTGTTTCTTGTTAGCCTAGAGGGATAATATTTCTCATGACTTTGAGTGGGAAATAGATTTATTCTTCCAATCCCTGGATTTCACTTGCCATCCCCCACCGAATTACGCTAGGACAGAAAATCTTTATGGGTTGGTGGAGTAGCTATAGCTTTGGTCTTTGGAAAAAATTACCTGCTCCTTGTTTTTCAAGAGTCTTGGCTTGACTGCACTTTACTTTCAAGTCCGATCTTCTGTAGTTGTCACCAAAATTTGTAGTATAGTTAAGTACTGTAGGGTGAACTCCTTCCTGTCATTACTAATAATTTCTTAAACCGCCTCTTTCATTCCAGTGAAATATTTATAGGCTTTTATCAGCTCCCCTAATAGACCTCAGTCCCCTCAGGTTCTCCATTTCTCGCTTTCCACTTTCACCAATATTCTCTGCTGTTTCTTGCAGATATTGGACCAGTCTTCCAAGCCAGTTTTACTACCTTGAATGTTCCTCAGATTCTTTCAGATTTCATTTTGTACTTTGGAATTCGTAAGAATTTGTATGAAAGATGCTCTCAAGTTAACTGTACTCTTATAAGAGTGACTGAACCAAGGAATGGCCATTGTGTGTGCTAGGAAGTCTCAGAAATTGTATTATATGGAACCTGTTTCATTCTTGGCACTCCCATTCTTGAATAATCTATAATTTATGAACCACTTATGGAAGTTTTTGGTCTGGACCAGGAAATGTGCGTTCACACAGATATTAATTTGAAAATAAACAAAATATTGTAACAGAAAACGTGATGCTGAAAGCCAGATATCCTAATCATGTCTTTGCATCGCCCAGGTGGCTTTCTTCTAATATAGGTATTCAGAAAGTGGGAATTTTCAAAACTATTCCATCCCATACATGTTTGATGTCAATCATGTCTTTGCATCACCCAGGCGACTTTCTTCTAATACAAGTATTCAGAAAGTGGGACTATTCCATCCCATACATGTTTGATGTACATGTATATGCATGATTGTAATGAAAGGGTCAAGGTGGAGACAGGGAAATATCTGAATGACCTTGTTTTCTATTTTAACTGTAGACTTCTCTGTCACTTGAAAGTGAAAGGTAAAAGCAAGATATGAAGGCACCTGACATGCTTTATGTGTCCAAGAAGTAGGCAATAAAAACTCTATAGGCTATGGCTGTACAACAAGGAAATCACCATACATAGGCATGATAAAATGAATTGCAATATAGGATGACCAAGTTTTAGAAGACATAATCTCTGGCATATACATTATTTGCAGACATGGCACCCTGAGGGAAAATATCCCCTTAAAAATCAGGAATAATAGTTTGAAAAGTGCTTAAATCACTAAACCTTTTTACAAATAAAACAATATATTTCATTTCTTAATTTTCTTCCTTCTCCACAATGGGGAATCTGTTCCAAGAGGCACAGTTCTATTTAATGAGACATAAAAAGGTAACTTCCTTGGAGGGAATAGCAAGACAGAAAACAGCTTATATTTGGATTTCCACAAAATTAAACACCTCCCTTCCTTTTTAATGCTTACCTTCACTGCTTCCCAGCTAGAATTCACCAGATATTGTCTAAAGGGACCGAAACCTAAAGACAAAGAAAAGTGCTTTTAACCCATGCTTGCCATGCTGTTGTAGGTTAGGTGCCTGACATGCATGCACACTTGCATATTTGTTCTTAATCATGATATTTTTAGTTACGGAGTTGACCTTTTTAATAGTATTTGGCCTTTTTAGTACTCAGGAGAATGGTATGTCCTTTTTCATACGTATGCAGAACTGTTCCTACAGTCTTTATACAGGTGAATGGCAATTAGTAAATGTATTGGAGACATTAGGACATATAAATAAGGATTTAGGAGTAGGATTATCAGCTATAGACACATGACTGAACTCGTGTTAAAACTACTCTCAGATCACAGTCTGTATCATAGACAGGTTGCTCATTGTTATAGCTAATGAAGATAAAGCATTTTATATTTAATGAAAATGTTCAAAAGAAAAAAAAATTCAAAATGAAATACATGCACATTAGTGGTGGCCATAAGAAACCCCTGCTTAGGGTAAAGCTGTTCTGTGAAAAGACTGACATATTTGTAACCACTTGGAGAGGTAAATAGTTTATTATTATTAGGCAGTATATAATAAACTGGGCTCACTGCCAGAACATTTATATTATGAGCAGGTGAAAATATGACAGAAGCATGCTGTGATAATTCCTGTAATAACTTAAAGATGCACCTGTGGGTCCAATGGGACACACTAGTCTAAAACTGTTTGAACAAGTAGATTTCTGCACCTAAATAGCTGTACAAAGGGAGGAAAAAAACTAACAAGCTGCTAATGTATGGTAAATACTGTAGAAGAGAGAGAACGAGGCTGTCAGTCTTTTAAGAGGTTATCAAATATCTCTTGCTCTCTCCTGCTTTCCCATTCGACTGCAGTTATGTTTGGAGAGCAAAGCTCGTTCTGCCCATCTTGGAGCTATTAAAAAAAAGAGGGGGGGGGGAAGTTAATTGAAAACAGCAAGATGCAAATCTCTTTGATGTAGCTTCAACCTCATTCCTATGTCCTTGGATGACCCACAGTGGAAAATTATCCAGCAACTCACATGTCAAGATATGTGTAATGATTGCCTTTAGATGAGCCAGTGGCAAGAGGAGGAACAGCGAGTAGCAGCATTCCTTAAGAGTTTTAACCTTTTAAAGATCACAAGTCTCTAGCTGGTGGTTCTGCCACTGTGATTCAGCCTTAGTTTACAGCCAGCAAGAAAAACTCCAAATTTGGTCCCTTGGGCTGCATGTTCAGGCATGTTCTTTTGATATATATAAATTAAATCGTCTAGTGTAGCAGTGATGAGGCAGCATCTCCTGTTTAAATTTCCCTTACCTTGCCATGAAACTGAGACCCTGAAATTTGCCATGTGTTGCTCTAATTCTGGACTCTGACTATGTGACATTGTGATGCGACGTGGTTTTCTTGCTTCAAAGCTCCTTTTGGAGCTGTATCTAATACTGGCCTGCACTGCCTTGAGCTACGCGGTTTGGATCGGACAGAACGTCAACAAAGATTAAAACATGGACAGAATGAGCAACAAACCAAACTGGACGGCAATAAAGAGGGCAGAGTGCACTCTCTTTCCTCTGACATGCATCTGATTTTCTTAGGAAGGCAGAGCAGCAAGTTATTTTCCATTTGGAATTGTTGCTGTGACCATTTGCTACTGTGTTTCCCTCCAGGGAACTGTTTATGACAAAGATCATGCATGTGTGCATACCATACCTAGCTAAAAGAAGAAGAAAATGAAAAAGAAATATCTTACCAGTTACAACCACAGTGTTGGAATCTGAATCCATGAAATCTGTGCTTCAGAATGTAAAGTCTGATCGTCTTTTAGTTCCAAACAACAGCATCGTAGATCATGCATCTGTGGCAAACTGCCTCATTTGAGGCACCCTCTTTTTTTTTCTTCAAGCAACAGTTTGAAGCATCTTTTCATCATACTTTTTTTTTTTTTTTTTTACTGAGTTACACATTGAGACAATTTGGCCATTTCTTATCAAAGCAGTTGCCTAATTCATTAATTTTGAGATTTATTAAAGAGCCTGAGCACCTTACACTTTCAAAAAAAAAATTAATTTGCTGAAGCTTGGTAATATCCACAAATACATAGCACTGTTACAAAACCTCACACTTGCAAGAACTCCAGAAGAACTCTGGAAGCTGTGTTATAACTTGCTGAAACCGGTGGGTTTAATAGCTGCTCCGTCTTCATTAAACTGCAATGCAAGAACCAATAGGGGGCCTGAAATCCAAACATATGCACATTGTCACTGCCCAAACACAAGCATATGAAAGTCCTCTCGGGAATTACAACTATGTGGGCAGCGGGTTTTGCTGGGTCTTGTTTTGAGTAGGAAGTGTGTGAGGGAGAGAGGAGAAATAAACTAAGAATAGAAAGCCACTATATAGTCTCAGGGGAGCCGGTAATTACAAGACCTTAAGAAAAAGCCTCTGAAGAAATCTCTTGGATTGCGCGGTGGTTGAATGAGATCTGAGTTTATAAGCTCTGCTTCTGTCATTGAATGTTGCAGTGCTGAGAAAAAGAAGAATTAGTGGCGTCTCTTAAATAAAAAGGCATCATCTCTACCATTCATTTTTCCCTTAATGCGACCTGCAAACTTTTATGAACTACTGAGGCTGAAGGAGTAGCTAATACAGTAAACATAGAACTGTCTTTAACGGCTTTAAATAAGGCAAAACTTGCTACTGACATCAGTGAGTTTCATACAAAATTCTGTAATTTTCATTCTCCTACGTCTACTAAGATTTTTACCAATTAATTCTGCCTATGTGACCAGTTAGTAAAACCTTTCCTGTGATACTGAACAGCGTGATCACATAGTGGTCACCTTCATTTCAGATTTAGACATTTTTAAAAACCTTGGTAAATGTTATTTGTGCTACTTGAATGCTGTGAAATACTTTGTATTTTATTAGGTATTTTTGCATAGATATTATCCATGCATTCTGAAACAACAGATTTCATCCATTCAGACTGCAGTGATGGTTTTTAGAGTTTTCATAAATGGCAGAGTAGGAAAATTACAGAATAAGGCAGATCATCAGTTTGTATTTTCACTCTATGGTACTAAAATAATTAATAGATTTTTTGGGGGGAATATGCCAAACTATTAAGTATTAAGTATTGTGTTCAATATTTAGTACCTGGGGGGGAATATGCCAAACTACTAAGTGATCAAATAAGTATTGTGTTCAATATTTAGTACCTTATTATGAATGCAAAGTTGCTGATTTGAGAATAAGGATTTAGAGACTTGTGATATTGGCTGCTTGTGAAAATATGGGAGGAATTATAGTGGTTTGGACAAACTGGGGATCTCTATTGTTCCATCATTCGTTTTTGCTTTGCCTTTATTGATTGCTTTTCTCCATGAGCATCATATGTATGCTAGCATGTCTGGTGGAGTAATACCTGTGTTGTAGCCACCCGTGCATTGGTCGTGCTATATATCTACAACAAGTGGGTAAAAAAAATATGGTGGCTTCAAAAGTCTTCTGTTTAGGAAGCTCTTCTGAGTTTTCTTCAGAAATGAAACCTTTTCCCTTTCCCTAAGATTGCTTTAGTTTATGTTGAAGCAACTTTTCATACTTTCAAGAAAGCATGACTGTGGCTTTTACACTGGCACTTATATATGTGTATGTATGTCCATAACGAGATCCAAAAGTCACTGAATATTTGAGGTCTGTGCAAATGCAGCTCCCCATCCATAATTAAGCAACCAAGCCCTGGATACTTGAAGGCAAAACACAGACAAGGCTGACTCAGCTACACGCCGTCTGTTTCTCTTCTTGCCATACACAAACACGACTGGCACCGTATCCATCTTGGGTAAAGAAGAAACAAACAAACAAAAATCAATTATGAAAGTCTTGGTTATAGCCTTGAACATTTTACTGTGCAGTACCTGCTATGCCAGAAAAAAAAATAGATTACTGAACTGCTGAGCAAGAGAAAAATCCCTTTTGCAAATGCATTCTGACCACATTGCAGAACTACCATCACTGCTTGAATGGCTTTTAAGTATTCAAAGTAGCAAGAACTGGAATACGGCCCTTCATTTAGAAACAGCTCTTTAATTTTTATCTCTTGTATTATTACTTGCATATAGATTTTTATTCCTTGTTATTGGCAGGCACTGACCAGCTTGTTAAACTGTTAAGTGGAAGTGTTTCATATATCCCAATTTTTATCTAAGCTGTCCAACATTTAATGAGATGAGGGAATAATCAAGCTTTTATGCTATTAAGCATTAAACAATTACAGAATTACGGGACTTTAAATAAAAAGTTTCATGATCTAACAGTTTATCTTTCTTTTTCATTCTAATAAAGGTAAATGGTCCTCATGGGAAAGACTGAAAATTATCTTTAGGCAGACAGAAAGCAGTGTCACAAAACCGTAAGTAGCAAACATTTCAGTGTAAAGCTCATTGTACTCTACGGCCTCTTCTATAACAAACCCCACAGAAATGGGAAATGGAAACACGTAACTACAATTTCATTCAAGTTTTTTTTTTGAATAGACCATGTTGTACGTTCCACTGTGTTGCATGTGCTTATATTAGTTATTCTACAGTTTATACTGTTGATGTAGAGCGAGCACTTTAGCAATAATGGAAAATATAATATATGTAACTTTAATGTAGGTAAGTTGTTGGGTGGCAATTGCCATTTCAATTCTGGAGTTCTGGCAATATTACTAACACTGTAGTCAGCGAGGACAGTTAAAAAAATCACATTTCATAGTATAATTTAATAAAAGGAGAAAGTACTTTATCAGAAGGGATATAATTCACCATCAGTGGATCGCTTTTCTTAAGACATTGTTCACCATGCATAAAGAGGCTCTGAAAACAGGTCACAAACAACCTGAGTAAGTAGCTATTTATCAGCCAATGTGCCAAAGAGATAGCGAGGACTAATAGACTCCTAAGCACTTTTCTTGCAGGTCTTTGGCTCATGTAGTTTCTTATACCTTAACAATTTCCTCAGTAAAATTCAACTACCATCATGCAGCTATGCTATATCAGCTATATATATATATGTATAGATATATAGATATCAACTACATCTATGCTCTATCCCTATGCTATATCCAGGTCTGGGATTGTGGTCCGCTAACCTACGGACTGAGTTACAGGACTTTTCTTGCAGGGCTTTGGCTTATGTAGTTTCTTATACCTTAACAGTTTGCTCAGTAAAATTCGACTGCCATCATGCAGCTATGCTCTATCAACTATATATATTTATGTATAGATATCAACTATAGCTATGCTCTATCCCTATGCTATATCCAGGTCTGGGATTGTGGTCCGCTAACCTACGGACTGAGTTACAGCCATGACGCTTTCTGACAGGGAAGTGAGGGAATCCTAGTAATGCAACGTCCTTAAGTCACTTCTTTGAAATGTTGTCTTCAGTTGACTGAAAACAACGTTGCTTTCAGGTATGCGCACATATTGTCATTTCTTTCACCTAAGCAGCCTTTCCACATATTCGCCATCCTTTACTTTGATAACTGTGCCCACTATTTTACAAATAATTAAGCAACTGTACAACCTTAGTAGATAGGAAGATGGCTACCAGGAGTGCTAACCTCTAGGTTCTACTTTCTGTTTTTGACAACTGTGTATTTTTTCAATCTCTGTACCTCCACGTTATGTTTAAAAAAACAAACATCCTGCTGCTCACGCAGGTTTTCCAAAGCCCTCGCTTGTGCTGACAGCCATCGTTACCATGTGTGGCAAGGAGCACTGTAAACTTGTCATTTTTGTACTTATTTTCCCTTGTAAGCCTTCTGCCTCTGCCACCTGAGTTTAAAGAAAGTGGCATCACCTGTATGTTGTTTGTCACCATGACCCTCTTCAGTGAATGCACAGGTGAGTTCAGAACCTCTGTTAAGAGCAAATTATTTGTGAAAGCCCCATGTAGGAGCAGAGGGGCTAGCAGCTCTCAGTTACCACTCCTCGGTTATTTACCACAGCCTCCCCTGTCCCTTTGCTTTCCCCCCAAAACCCTCCGGGCCTTTCGACAGTCGCTTTTCCTGTCAGCAAAACCCCGGCTGCCTGCGGAGCTGCGGCCACCTCAACGGCCGCGCCCGGGACGCAGCCCCCCGCGGCGGAGCCGGGCGGCCTCCCGCCCGCCCCGAGGAAGCGATGGAGGTGGAGGAGGAGGAGGCAGAGCCGCCGCCGGTAAGAGGGGCGGCAGAGCGCTCCGTGCTCGCCTCGTTCCCCCGCGCCGCTGTCCCTGTCGCTTCGCCTCCCTCCCCGCCGTTCCCTCCCGTTCGCGGTGCCCTTCCCGCCCGCGCGACCTGGGTCGCTGCCCGCCGCCTGCCCTGTAATGGCGGGCTCCGCGCAGCGCCCGCCCGCCAGAAGCTGCCCGAACGCTCCAACACACAACGGGCCCTTCCCGCATAAAACTTTCCTCGGTGCCCTGTGGCCCGGTGCTTCTTCGGGAATGGCTCCTCCTGGGGGAGGCACCTCTGGAGCTCGGCCAGCCCCGAGCCGAGCAGGCGCCGCGGGGCCTCCCAGCTCTTCCCCCTTTGGGAAGTGTCCGAATTTCAGGGTAGTTCAAACTTACTCCGAGGTAGAGAGGAATTGGCGCTTGTTTTCTGTCAGCTTTGTTTCAGCAGTTGATACTCGTAAAGGGGATTATCTCTGGACACCTGTTTTCAGGCTGGACTTTCTTTTATAGCGCTCGTATGGACCAGAGGGGATTCCAGTGTAAAAATACCTTTATATCTTTAAGCCTAAAGCTCAGGCTTTGTTTTAAAAAATATATTTGCCCAGGGAGTAAGTATGTTGCCTCTTGACCAGAAAAGAGTGTTTACTTGGGTTGTTTTGGTGTAGAGAGAAGGTATGAAAGGCTCCCTTTACTGCACAGTGTTTACTTTTTCTTTGGGAAGGGTAAATATGTTCCTTGGTGATCATGAAAAGCCCATAAAACAAGAAAATGTATTTTGGGAAACAACTTGTCCGTTTGCTTCTGCCAGAAGTGAATTTTCTGGTGATTCTGGTGGTAGGCAAAGAGATGCCAAGCAGAGGCAACAGGGAGAACTCGAGGACGTGGTGGGGTGTAGATATTGTGGTGGTTGAGTTAGCAGTCAACCCACCACTGTTGTAACTCCCCGAGCGTGGTAAGGGATCTGATTTTAGGACAGGTGGGTCTCACACACACGGAGTAGTGGGTTTCGGAGGGAGCCAGGCGTGCGTAGTGTTCCTGGGTTATATTTGACTAGGAGCACTTCCAAGAATTTCCGTTGACGCGCTTGTTTGGATGAGGGCCCATTGCATCACCTCACTTAGCTTTTACAGGGCTTTCCCTCCTGCTCTGTTTTCGTACCCTTCTTTCTTAATTTGTCACGCTAGCAGGTAAATGGAGAGAAAGTGAATTTATCTCCTGAAACGCATTTTAAGTTGCTGCCATTTATCTAAAGCACCTACTTCATAACCTTCAGTAAAATAATGATGTTGTTCATTAGTTCCTCTAGCTGCTCATGGCTCAATGCACTGTAGTCAGATTGCTCTATTCTTTTTTCCCTCCTATCAGCACTTATGAAAGTCAAACATTTGTAATAATGCTATTTTTTGAAGACTCATTCTGCTGATATTTTTAAATAAAATAGGTGAATGAAACTTTGTGTGTGTGTATGAGTCTAGACAAACTATTGCTGGTACTTCTATATAATTTTTCTTTCTGACTTTTTTCATTGACCCAAAATTGAGCTTTTGGAATAGTTCTCTCATTCTCTTCCTCGTCTGAAACAGAAGTCATTATTTTTTTTAGGTACTGTCTGAATTTTAACTTAGTTAATTTAGTTGGATATCCCTGTGTTTAAAATAATTATCTAGCAATTGGTAATAGGTTGAATATACAATTTGCTTCAAAAGAATACTGGAGCCAGCCTGAACTCCTCTGGTGCTAACGGTGCTTTTTAGTTTATGTCCTTCTGTAATTGAGATACTGCAACTCTACATATCTTTAAGTAGTTGAGGGAGTACTTGTCTACTCCAGTAACTGTCTTTCACAGAGCAAGATTGCTTACACATCTCACAGGGTTCCTAAGCTCCCATTTAGGTCCAAGGCAAACTTGAGAATCTGGCCAACCACTGGCCTACAGCTTGGGATTAGTGTTTTACATCCAGCCTTGTCACAAGATCTTTTTGGTCTTGGAGCATTTTCTGAGTTGGATTTGTACGTGCTCACCATTTAGCAGCAAGGCTAGGGAGGACATTTAAATGATTTACAGCACTTAGGAGGCTCTGGAGCCTGAGAAATAATTAGTTACCAGATGACAAACCTGTATGTCTAGTTTAACAATTGCAGTAATGGAGCCTTAAATTTCCATCTGCCTCTCCAGGAAACCTCCCTCCCTGTGAAAGCCACATTAGTTAGCTGAGTTTAGAAGCATGAGACCTGCAGCACTAGGTAGGAACTCAACGTTCTGATAGCATAGATGTTATATATAACATCTATCTATATATATAATATATATAACATGGTGTGTCTCCAGCATGAAAAGGCACATCAGAGCTCCAGGATGAGACCGATCAAGAGCTATGCTCCTTCATTATAAGTAAAATTATTTATGTGACAGGTAGAATTTTGCTCAGTGAGGAATGCACGCTTCTGAAAACTAAGGACTATGATAAGCTCACTTTCCTTGCCATATGCAAAGCAAGTTACTGTAACCTTACTTTCTTTAGAGCATAAATACATATTTATTTAAGAAGGAAAGAAAGCAGAAAACAAAATCCCAGCTCTTTTAAGCTACTCCCCTCAAAGAAAAAAAGACACTCAAAAATCCAGTAAACAAGCCTGAGTCCCTTTGCATAATGAAGCATTGGCAGGGAACACACTCCTTCCCTTGGGGGAGAGCATGGAAGAACAAATAATCCAGGCGAAATGCTGCCTTCTTGTTTCTGTTTTCATGTGGGAGGTGTACAGACATCGTGGATATGAGTATGGTATAAGAACCTATATAGCACATAGCATATATTCCCACAGTATATAATGGTGGCAAAACCGGAGAGTCACGAGCACGTCTAGGGGCAAGTCACAGTTGTCGCATGTTGCAAAACGATTGGCAGAGCTTCAGGTCCAAAGCAAACTGTGTTCTGCTCAGTTACTGAGAGGCCCATGGACATTTAAAAATGTTGTGTTTGTAACCTTTGAAACTGCTGTCTGGTGACTGGTCTTTACAGTATTACTGACAACAGATGGCAAATGGCTCTGCTGATGTAATTCTTGCTGGTCTTCCATTCCTGTGACATTCCACAGTTTCAGAATCTCAGAAAGTGCTTCCATATTTTTCCTGCATAATGATTCCAAGCCAAACTAAATAAAAACATTTTATATTATTCAGATTCCCATGGTATCATGTGACATTTTTGTAACGATTGCCTTGCAGCAGTTTTAGGTAAGTGCCCGTTTGGTAGCAATTTAAGGCCTGTGTCCTTTAAGTAATGCTTATTAGTACGTAACAGATGCCATTTAGAAACATTATGCCTTTTAATAGGCTCTGCTTTTAGATTGCATGTTCTCATTCCAGGCAGACTGTGGATCGAGCAAGCTTGGAGGTATGCTGTCGTTTATGCAAAGCCTAAGTCATATTTTCTGCTCTGAAGTCAAGCCATGTGTTTTTCCTTGTTTCCTCCATTCTGGTCATAGTTGTCTTGCTGTGATCCTCCCCCAGTCATATCTTTGGCTGCTTGTCAAGCTGTTACAATCAAAACCTTTTGCATATTTAACCACCAGCAGTGGTTTCCTTTATCCTTACAGAAGAGCCTATATAAACTGATTTTAAACAATCTTGGCTTCACTGTTAAGAGCACAGCAAACAGAATTAGCCCTTTCCTGCCAGCCTGTTCTTCTCGGCTTCTTCCTCCTCCCAAAAGAAAGGAGGGGGGAAATAAAAAAGAAATGCAGAGCCATGCTGATTTTGGAGCACCTTCAAAGACATGCAGAATAGCTGACACAATAACACAGAGAGGCAGCAGAGATTTTTACATATGTCCTCCACTGCATGCAGCTGTTTGTTAAAGCAAGAAGTTCAAGGCAGACTAAGTTCAAGACTTAGTGCAGGTGACATCTTAATTTGCAGTCATATAATAAATCTAGCAGTATGGAGATTACTGTGGAAAAGATTTTTTGTTTTCTTTCCTTTTCTTGCTCAAATTAATTACCTTTGAGATCAGTTTGGCTTTGCAGACTGCTCCTTGTGAACAATTTGGGTAAAGGCTGCTAAGCTTTCCTAGGCAGACTTACATACCCTGTAGGATGGGAGCATTAGACTCGTCAGGTACAAGCATTTTCAGCTGAAATTATGGGGGATTTGAGATCGATATCCTTGAAAATCTAGCCATCTTCTCTTCCTTTGGAAACTTTTGTCCCTTCCGAGCGAAAACTAGGGATTTTAGGTACATTTGCCTGGGCCACATTTATTGTTGTAGTTTGTAGGAAATGAAAAAAAAGGGCTGCATGTAACACCTGGGGCTCTACGTTCCCATTACTAGTTTTGAGTGATAGTAGTAGTACAGTAATTTGTTTATGTAATACTTAAGTGCTAGTGGTGGTCCAGGCTGGTGAGGCTGAGTGTTTCAGCAGTAATTTTAAGAGCTTCTTGGTCTGAAAACAGGGATATTTTCTAGAACTGTCCTGACTGGCTGTCTCTCTAGTTTCTCGCTAGGGATGAAGTCGTCGTCATCATCATGTTAGGCCATCTTCCAAACTCAACTCTCCTTCCCTCCATTGACCCCTGTTTTTTCTTTATCACTGTAGGTGACATTTCTTTCCTTTTTTCCCTTTATTTACAGAATGACTTTTAGCTCATCTGGCCTCCCTTCTAGCTATCTTTGCAAAGAGTTGAATGTACATTTAA